TGTATTATTATTTATGTATTTATTGTTATACCAGATTTCAATTACAACCCTATTGCATTTCTTTGAGTTTGATTTCTCATGCGGTTTGCATTTGAAAATGGCTTACAAACGATTAGGTTAAAATTTATATTTATTGAGCGGAAACGCCATCAATCATTTCATAGCTCGGAAATCACAGGTTTCAGCTTATTTCTTGACATCTAGGGCCTTCTTCTGCTCTTCCAACTTTGCCATTTCGTCGTTATAATGCGCTTTTCGCTCAATTTTGGTCAGCTGATTCTTCTCCAGCACTTCTCTGCCTCACCCTTCAGCGACACGTTCCTGGAAATTGATGGATAATTCCGATACTTTTAAAAATCGGTTCGAAAATGCCTATTTCTGTGGTTTTTATGATAACTGGCTTTCTTGCCAGTTTAGGCAAAAATCATATATTTTCAGGGTCCTGGGGACCGGAATTTAAAAAATATACAAATTTGTCTATTGTCAGTCAAGAGAAAATCGGCCGATGCTTTTAAAAGGCGGTTATTTGGTTTGGCTTTCCGGCGTTTAAAATTTCAAAACTACAGGATATTTTCAAGTTAATTTTCGAAATTTTTAAATGAATTTTAGTTTTGGAGTTAGTTGCCGTCGTCACACTAGCTGAATTAATAAAACAGCATGATCTTAACTCAAAAATTAAATAGATAACTTTGGTTAATCGGTATAAATAAGTTGTAATTTTTTAGCAATAGGCTTCCAAACTGACCTCCAATTGCGTAATCTCATCCAGTTTCTTCTGCACATTCCCATTTTCCTCTTGACATGCGGTCCTGTAGGGTGATGCATGCCTTTTCCTTCTCAATGGCCGTGATCGGTTTCTGTGGACGCGAGGCTCCAGCCCTCGTGCTGCCTTGGCCATCCGGGGCTGATCCCAGCTGGCGCTCTGGAAAAAACGTAAATTGAGGCATTTGATTGTATTGATTGACTAACAATTTTATCATTTTGCAAAATAGGAAACAGACTTTCAAATCTCTTTGCAAGGATCGAGTCAACACTCAGAATTGGTGAAAACCGGCCAAACCGAATTTCCTTAATCCAATTTTTTAGACGTTTTACGTGGTCGATATTGATTTTTGGACAAATTGATGGACAGTCCAGATAAATATAGCAAATAATCTTCAGTGAAATTAGCTTTTCAACGAAAACTAACTTTCTGGCTACAAATCGACCTGGATTTGATTTGGTGCTATTTGCGCTCTAGGTACCGTATTCCGAATCGACTTACCGTCCCCTGACGGCCGGTTCTACTTCCTTTGCCGGGTTGTTTAGGTTGTTCATCCCCTGTGGAATATATCCCTCCTTCACTTTTCTCGGCTTTCGCCAGCTTCCGTCGGCTCGTTGGCTTGAGGCGATGAAGGTGCCTGGAGCGAGAGTCGATATTTCCGCTTTGGTTTCCGCTATTTTTCGGAATATAGATTGTTTAAATACCGTAGCTGTCTGTTGAACCATATAAAAGCATCTACCAAATAATATCATCAAACATCTTAAAAATGACATTTTCAGAATCAAAGCCGAAATTTTCGAGAGACTTTTAAAATCTTCATAATGTAAGAAAGTAGCCACTTTTTAATCAATTGTATTACTTCATTACAGCTAACACCTGAGAGTTTGTAATGGTTGATGTAAAACTCTTTGAAACGATATTTTCGTGATTTTTGACTTACCATCTCCAGTCTTGATCCTCAAATCACCGGGTGTTAGCGTGGAGGCCATTTTCGAGGAGGACTAGAAGAAGGTTTCGATTAAATATGTTTTAGATTCCTTGAGGAAAGAAGCCTTTTCGTGAATTGGCGGCGGGGCCGAGGATGGAATAGGAATGGGTCGCGTGTATCGGGCCGAAACCAGGGGCACGGGATAGCAGACAACCCCAGCCGGAAGGGTAAGGTAAACAAAGACCCACAATACGACATGTAAAAATCACATAATCCTACTATATATAAAATAGTGTTTGTGTGTGTGTGTTTGTATATTTTTTTGCATGCACTCGTTAGGATGTTCCGTTCCCACAGCCTTGGGGAAGGGTTTTTAGCTAGGAAGAAACGACAATCGGTTTAGAATGGTCCGGAATCGACTGCACACACATAAAAATTTTGAAAATTGGGGTTTTTGCCATTAAAAATATATTTTGTAAACCCTGTTTGTTAGGGAAATTAACATGCCGAAGTATTTTTTTTTTTTTTTTTTTTTTTTTTTTTTTTTTTTTTTTTTTTTTTTTTTTTTTTTTTTTTTTTTTTTTTTTTTTTTTTTTTTGTTATCCAATAAAAGTATCTCTAATTAATGAAGTATTATTAAAAGGGACATGGCGTTGGACGCAAAAAAATTTGATCAAAATTTACTATGATAATTTTCGCCGATAAATGCTAGCCAAACTTATTTTTTTGAACGTTCGGAATTCTACTTAAATTATTTCAGAATATAAGGTTAACTGACATGAAATAAATCGAGAATTCTATGTATAACTAAATAAAGACGTGCCTGGTGGACGGGCATCTTGATTGTTTTGGTGAAGAAAGATTTTTTGATAGCAGCGTAGTATCGGCTGAAGGCGTTGATGGTCCGTTGAACGATTAGGATAAAAATGCGCAATTTTCCGTTTCTTTTATAGCAATTTCTTATCACTTTTCACCCCCAGATGTCGCCTGGGGTGACATTTGGGCGATCTCTGCCAGATGGTGAACCTGATGGACGCTCCTGTCAGGTTGGGATCTCTTATTAATCGCATTAATAGTGATGTTTTAGCATTAATAAAACTGTTTTTCTCCGTATCCGGTATCGATTAAAATCTGGCTTTTAATTTCTTTTGCTAAAAATTTCTGTACAGCAATTTTTGAAGCTCTAGGCGCCATCAAATTCAAAATGCACGCACCGTTTTTAAGACATTTCGGGTTCGCTGAAGTTTTTTTGCATAAAATGCCGTCTGCCAAATTTTTGGCTTAATTAGTGTACTGTATTTAAGCTATTTTCTATAAACCGAAATTGTAAATAACCGTATATGAATTTGTTAATTAGTTTTAGACTTCAATTTTCAAGAAAATGTGTTGTTTCGAATGTAGTTCATAGTTCAAATGTGTTTTCAGTTTAAACGTATAAATAAATATATTTATCCTCCAATTCCACACAAAACTATACAAACAAAAAAAACAAATAAAAACACGGAAAAACATCGCCAAAATAATGAAAATAATAATAGCGATTTGTCGATGATACTTTAAAGCAAAATATAAAGGGATATTATTGATGAAAGAGCGATAGAATTGAGTTGACGAGATCGCTGGTTTAAATAATTAAAAAAAAATATTACAATAATTATTGTCATGGCTAAATTGCTATTTTAATTTTCAAAAATTAATCGAGGTACCGTAACTCTGCATCACAACGTTTTGTATTATTTTACAAAAAAAATTGAAATTGATGAGTTTTCTTAAGTGAATAGATTGAGCCATTTTCGCACAATTTTTTTATTAGGACTAGATTTTACTTAATTTTAGTTTAAATATTCTTCTAGCTACAATTTTCATGTCGTAATCGAATAGGGATAAAAGAGCACCGAATAGAATGGATAGACCCGCATTTGGAGAAGAGAGAGACACACAGAGAAAGAGAGAGACAGGGGAAGGGAAGAGACGCAGAGAAATGTATAGAGGCTAGAGACTAGAGTCTAGACGATAATCTCTCTGATAACTCTGCCCTGTCCGGAAAATGCCTCCGAATCGGAATCTCCTCCATCGGAATGTGTGGTCGCTGTCTGGTTCTCGGGTCCCGAACCGGTGCCGCTGCCGTCGTGCACTGAAATTAATTCATTAATTTAGATTTTCTAAAAAATACTTCCAAAAATATTTTCTTTATTTTATTGTTATCCCTTTGATAATTTTAATTTTATTCAAATCTTATTTTGACTGAGATTTTAATCTGGCCAAACTCATTAATTTAATGCTTTCCATTAAAACGAATCGGTCTTTTTGGGAATGGGTCGAACCTCTTGTGCTTTTTTAGAAATTGCTAATTTTTCAAAGAAATTAGTTTCAATTGAATTTCAAAATTTTCGATTTCAAAATTTTCCAAATCATTTGAATCCCAAATAAATTAAATCTACTTTAATTTTGTTTTGTTTTCAATTTTTTTAATGTATTTTATAGCTTACCACTAGTCCTCCACGCCGTCCCATCATTATTCATTCAAATACGGATCGTTGTGGAATGGGTCGAATTGGGAGGGAACTGGCCCAGAATGCGGCGGCCACGAATCTCGCTCGGGTAGTGTTTCGTTCCTGAAAATTCAGAAATTACGTCGTGAATAATGAAAAAATGCGAAATTGATCCCTTGAATCGACTAGGTGTCGAAAACTACAAATCACGCATTAAAAACCGTTTTGATGGTTACAGTAGCTCGAAAGAAAAAAATAATGCGCGCTTCAACGCGTCATTTGGGGTGAATTGTGCAGACCTATGCAACGCAAGAGGGCGATCCGCGGACTTCACGGCCCTTTAAAGGTTTTTGCGACTCACGCGCTGAATGTGTCCATTAACCGATCCGGCTCCTCCTCCAATGCCCTTCTGCCCATTTTCGAGTGTAAATACACCAGAATCAGTGGCTGATCCGTGTGTCATCCCATTCTTCGCTTCCATTGGCGCATTGGCCCGAGACTTCAGGGCGACTAAAATATCCGCTAAGTAGGATTTTTAGAGCTTGTTGTCTTTTCTGGCAGACAGTTTAAAATTTGAATTCACTTACATATCCATTTTCTTGGCCTTTTTCGCCTTATCGTCGACTCCTCGCCTCGATCGGCAACAAATTGCACAGAGGATTGAGAGAAACGCGATCAAGATCAGTCCAACAGAGCAGAGGCACCAAGTAGCGCCATCTTGAGCTTAGAGGGCTTGGCGAGGAGACGGCGTGACTAAAAAAAGCGAAATTAACTTGAATTAAAATAGTTTATTTAATTTTTTCGCCCAAAGGGCCCGTTTTTGGATTTTCTGATTTGATTTATTGAAATTCGATTTAATTATCAGTGTTTGTTTGTTGAAAACACATTCTGGCATCCATTCTACCGTACCTGATCGGCGAACACTGTATCCGATTGTTCCGCGAGCAATACCGTACTGCAAACTGTCCACCACCCGGCAATTCAGAAATCTCTCGATCCGATGGCCAACATTCCACTCCTCGGGACATGTCACCGAACGAGACGTACAGTTGCACGCACACGTCCGAGGAGGGTTTTGGCTGGAAACAAAATTTATAATGTGTAAGAATAAAACGAGAAGTAAAAAGTAGTCCCAAAAGACGGTTCCTTTTAAATTTGCTTAATTTCACTGTTTAAATTTAAATGTAGATATCAGAAATTATTTAAACTGGCAGGCAGATACCCGATTATCATTCGAAGTATTCTTTAAAAATCTAGGAGAAGCCAAAAAACGGGACAACAGTACCTCCAAAACGAGCCCCATCGTGCGGGCATTGTAGGAAATCGCGGCGGGAGCCTCAACGGTCCGTCTTCGTACACATCATCAGTCGTTGCAGAGAGAATTGGGAAAATTCGGACATTCCCTAGGACAATTACGGTATGGTTACGTCATTACAATGCTACCTGCTGATTCTTGGCACGGATCTTCAGATGTAGGTGGATTTCGGGAGTAGATTGGTCAGATTAGGCGACAGGGACTTTGGAATCCGGGAGAACGCTTCGATCGGGTTGAATCCGACTGGAATTGAGATATTTTGCGTTTTAAAGGAACAGTGAAAGGCAGCAAAATGCGCTTTAATTTAACCTACAATTGGAGCATCTATCCTCTGCAATTCTTTGACTTCTACCGTAGTCACCTCTTCCTCGGAAAGCGTCTCCGTAAATGGGTTCAACCTGGAAAATAACGATGATTCGAAAAAATAGAAAAATTAGTTTTTCTTGAGGAGTCCAAATTTATCGTAGCATACCGTCTGTACTCCAGAATAAACGTCTGCGCGTAGCCGCCATCAAAGCCCTGTTTCCACGCCAAAAATAGGGAGGACGGAGAGGTGGACATTTTCTTGAGTTGGAGCAGGGGCTTCGGGAGCGCCTAAAAATGGGAAATGGAACTTGAAAAAAGTGGAAATTGCAGGCCTGTAGGGTTTCTAAAGATTTTATGAATTTAGATTTATGGTCGTGTGACCCTACGGAAAACGCTCCACCCTTTCAGAAAACCTCATTTCTGAGGTCTAAATTGTCTAGAAAAATTCCGTAATCGGTTGGTTGTAATTTTGTCGTATAATTCTCAAAACTACCATCGACTCACTTCGTTCCTTCAGTCGAATGATCGCCTCGGCCTTTGCGCCCTTGCCATTGGTGGCTCGGCACAAGTACTGTCCATAGTCGCCTTTTGTGGTTTCCGGGAAGGAGAGGATCTGAAAAACCTAACGGATTCTTTCACTTTATCTCTCTCTCTCTCTCTCTCTCCCTCTCTCTCTCTCTCTCTCTCTCTCCTCCTTTCTGGCTGTCTACATCCCTTTAAAACGTGCGACACCGTACCGATTCGTATTCGTCAGGTTGACCAGGAATCTGTGCTTAGCTACAGAGAATCTCGGTCCCTCCTCGATTCCGTCGATTCCTTCAACCAGGCGAATTTCGGTTCCGGACGTGCAGAGACACGACACGAGATTCGGGCCGTATTCCCGAGATCAGTCGCAGCCAGGGCTTCTCCATTATAGATATCGTTCAGGATCTGCGGGCTATGGACTACGCGAAGAATTGTCACGTCGAAGCGGCTTCACCGGCTCCTGAAAAAACACTCACTTGTTGAAAATCTCAAAATTCGATTTTGAGAATTTTTTACTTCTTGCTGTTGTAATTTTCCTAAAAGCGCGTACCATTAGCCGCAACGCAGGTATAATTGCCCTTATCGGACCACTCCACAGCGGCTCGGAAGGAGAGTGGATACGGTAGATCGGGTACAGTAATCCCCGGGTGGGCACGACGACCGGGATGCGGTATTCGCCAGGGTGAATCGGGATTTGTCGATTGGTTGACCGTTGCGGAACCACAGCACTTCGGGGGCGGGGTATCTGAAAAATTAAAAGATAAAATCAGGATCGATTACGGGCTGTAAGTCGATTACACGGAAACTACCGTACCCCTGTGCTTCACATTCGAGTCCAGTTCCGTCCTCGCCAGCCGTATATATCCTTTCTGTTGTTAACGGCCTTGAGATAGTAGCGGGTTGTATGACGACGACTCGAACAATTCCAATATCTCCGTCTCCGATTCGGTTGTACGGCAGACAACGGTATTCTCCGTTATCCGATAGTTGAGCGTTTCGAATTGTCAACATGTCGCCGGCGTGATCGCTGAAAAATAAGAAATTGGCTACCGGCTACAAAGTTAATCATTTTGCGAATCTTAAAAAAAAAACCCATATCAAAAAGGTAAGCCTGGCATACATACTACGGTTTCTTACTAATTTTGATGCGTTATTTACGTGTAATTCTCGAACCGGAAACAAACCGGTACCAGCGCTGGAATGGATAGCGCCAGCTGGCCGACAATTGAGCCAAAATGTGAAAGCTATCGCAAAAACCCATATGATTTTGGAAAAATCTGTATTGTTGCAAAAAATGCAAACTACTAAGTTATGGCCGATCATTTGTAAATTTCGTTAAACCCTACAGTGATCAAACTGTTCTCCACTGCTCGGGCTGGCCCATTTATATTCGGCTTGCGGGCTTCCGAGATCGATGGCTTGACACGACAATTGGATAGTCCCTCCAGCCGGCACATTAAGGGTAGCGGGCTGATTTTGGCGGCTCCAGGCTTCCTTCTGACATCCAGCTAAACCAATTACGCTATGAAATTGCTTTAAACGGCTGAAATTACCTTCAATGTGGATTGTCCTGTTCTTGGCTGTGTGCCAGTTTGTCCATACAGCGTCAAGTAGTTTGTAGCTCGGCATACGTAGTCTCCACTCTGATCCCGAGCAACGGATGGGATCACCACTTTGGGTCCCTTGGCTTGGAAGCCGTTTGGTCCCGTCCATTCTACGGCTTCTTCACGAGGGTTGGCCTCGACTTGGCACTCCAGGGTTACGGTATCTCCCTCCGACGGGGTTACGGTATCCTGAAAATGTTTTAAGTTGATGTTTGGATGGGAATGGATGGCAGTTAAGCTGATTTAGGCTAGTTCTAAGTTTACGGTATTCTGAAAAAGTCCTTTCAATAGATTTTTGGATGAATTGGATACCAGTCAGGAGAATTATTATTTTTGAGGTTACGGTACCCCAGATTAATTCTCGATAGGTTTTTGGGTAGGCTGGATCACAGTTGAGAGATTTTAAGCCTTTTGAATGCTAAGAAGTCTTGGATGCCAATTAAGAGAATTATACCATTTTTTAGCGCTTACCTTGGTGACAACCCTCGGCTTGAACTGTACATCTACTCGTAGCCGATCCATTGATTCTCCGATGCTATTTGATGCTCGACATTCATATTCCCCAGCACTCTTCTGCTCGACGCGAATCGGCCATTTCGAGTCGAGATATCGCTCGCCACTTGGGATGTGTTTCCTGCAAAAGGTTACGATAGGTAAATCAAAATTGGCTATATTGACGCTCAAACCGTCTAATTTTCTCCGATCTATAGCTTGTAGTCCAGCGAGCTATTCCAGCGAAAAATCACATTGTCAAAGTTGTCGAACGTATAGGGGCCATAATTTCATTGCGTAGTCGATTAACAAAGCCTAGCCCAAGTCAAGTATTTTGTAGTTTTTACCCCAGTTTGCCCTCTGCAGAACAAAAACAGAATTTTTATGCGCTCATGGCAATTGTAAATTTCGCTTTTCGAAATTCGGTTCCCTGGCTGATTTTTACCCGAGTTTTGGGGCAATTTTCTAAGACTGCTCCCGAATTCTCGTGCCACCCCCATTCGGTCCCCCTCAAATTTATTCGTCACCCAGCCGAGGGGTTTTCTGGATTGGACAGGTGCCCTTCTACCTTTTTACCTTATCCCAACCCATATTCAGGTACCACCTCCCCGATACCCATCCTGTCCACCTGCCCTTCCCCTCCTCTTCTCCTCTCGGCATAATGGCTGCCCCGTGCCCTCCATTTTTTCCACCCACCCAAAACTGCCGGTGCTGACGGCCAATTCAGGGTATGGCCCTGGTGGCGACACCCTGGCGCCGACAATTTTCAAAATATGTGCGGAAAAGCGGTTTTCAAAGGGCAAATTTGAAAGCGAAACGGTTAACTGGATGGCAGTGTAATTAAAAATACACTAACAAACGTAAAAACTCATTCTAATGTTTTTAAAAGCTAAATCAAGGTTGATTTGGCCAAATTGGCTTGCAAACAAGCGGTAAATCGACTTTATGGCCTGAATGCCAGAGATTTTTGTGGTCTGATGTTTTTAATAGATGAACTGACTGTCAGCTACATTATAAAGGGCATCAACTTTCTTTAAAAAAATCAAAAAGTGAAATTCTAGGCAAATTTTGTTAATCTGGCTACCAATTCAGCGTAAAATTAATATTTGTAGCCTGTAGCCCGGGTTGTCATTTTCTTTATCTAAACTGACTCCCAGTTTGCATAAAACACTCCATCTTTGTCGTTCGCAGCCTAGGAATCAAAAAACCGACCATTCATATCCTGTCGGCTGTGGATTTCCCTGTCCCTGACATGTCAACTCGATCGCCTGGTCTTCTTCAACAATATATTCCGACGCCGGGCCCACGGTTACGGTAGGTTTGTACAGCACCTAAAATAAGGTTTTATGGATGCCGGTATGCAGTTTCCGCACGTTTCCTAACGACATTACAGTTTCCGGGATCCGGTCGGCCCCTTTTCCGGATTTCGCCGCGGGGGTAGGGCAGTTATGCGTGGCCCCCATTTTGACGCAGTGAAATGGTACAGGGGATCTAGCCGGAACCCTTAGAGGAAAAGAGGGGAAAGATATTGGAATGACCCCATTCAATCCCCTCACACATCCATTCCCCCTCACAGCAAAGCCGTTAAGAGGAAAAACACGGAAAAAGGTGGGCCAATTCCCGGAGCTAGCGCGCATTTCGCACCTCCGGGATGGATTGGATGGCCGACAGATCGACAAACGGAGTGATTGACGGACAGATTCGTGGACAGATTGACAAACTGACCGACAAACAGTAGGAATTACTGTTTGTCGTATTGTATTTGCATTTTTGATTTTTGGACGCTATTTGTGACGCAAAAATAGTGTCCTGTAAGCCCAAAAATTATCCGTGAGAATATACCAAAGTTTGAATGTATTTGCCGGACAGACATACAAACCGGGTGATTGACAGACATATAAGTGGGCAGTAAGACAAACTGACTAATAAGCAATCGAAATTCGTAAATTTTGGACATTGTTAGCATTTTACCCCTCAAAAATGTTTGAAAAATTGTAAATCCACTGTTTTGACGAAACTACAAACTACACAGACAAAAAGAAGCTTTTTCCTTTAGCTGCCAGACGGTTTGCTAATCTGACCTCCCAACTACAGACCACACCAACTTACATTGAGCCGGGAGCTCTGCACGGTCTTCGGCGCCCTCCCTTCCAACGCCTTGTTGGAGACGACGCACGTCATGAAAGCGCCATTGTCCTCGGCGCGGGCACGCCATCTGCAATACGGTAATATAGTCAAGTTATAGCTTTTTTGCCAATTTAAAGTTTAATAAACCTTAAACTTACATCAATTAAAACATATTTAAAAAAAAAAATCTATTAATTTTCAGGTTTTAAAGCCAAAAATATTTTTTAGTTTTTAAATAGATTTCTCCCACATGATACGATAATCAATTTAAGGTTTTTAAAATACTAAAATACTGCTAATTTGAAGGGACATGCAAGTCAATATTCTGACAGAAAAACCGTTAATTTTGGATTTTTATAGGTTTAAATTAGCTTGAAAAACTCACTGAATTCGACTCTCAACAGTGCCGTCCTCTTTGACGCTAACAGAATATAAATCCTGTCCAGCCTGTGTTGTATTGTCGAAGAGCCAAATAATAGAAGGGGGAGGACTGCCACCCTCTGATCGACATTTCATCTGAACGCCATCACCCTCACGGATTGGCTGCTGCGGAGATTCCACGATTTCCGGCGCGCTGGGTTCGACTGAAAAAAATTCAATAAAAATTTAAAATTAATTTTGGTACGATTTATGCTTTTTCTGGCTGATTTTCTGTGTAATTTAAACGCTAAAAAATTAGTTTAAAGGTTTTTGGTTTTTCTAAATTTTTATAGTGTTTCTGTCCGTCAGTTTTACCAAAAATCGCTTTGTTTTTCGAATTTTCTGTAATTTAGTTTTCTAAGCGTATATTGTGTTTTTCTGGCTGCCAGCTTGCTTAGAAATATATTTTGATCGCCAACATTTAAAAATTATCAAACAATTTTTTGAATTTTCCAAAACTCTATTGGCTTTTCTGGATGCCGGTTTCACCAAAAATCGATTCTACTCCTTAATTTCACTTTCCGAAATTTTTGTAAGCATCAAGTTGTCTTTTCTGCCTGCCAGTTTACCCAAAAATAGCTTTAAGCCCAGAAAATTTCACCCTTACCCCCGAGTTCTGACGTGATCTCGGGGGTGTCAGTGCGCGCGTGCCCCTAGGGCATCTTCTAGGGGGACACAGGATATCATTTACATTCTCTATCCCCTCTGCCCATCCCTTTCCCTCTATCTCTCTATCGCTGGCTGAATGCCCGGCTAATTATCAGGGCGGAAGCGCCGGAACGGGACCGGAAACCGCCCGGATCACAGCTGGGACGCCCTTCTGGCAAGCATTCGGCCCGGAAATGGAGTCCCCTTGGAGGGACGATCCCTTTAAGAAGAGTTATATCTTTCAGTTGGATGGCAGGGGTCATGAATATCCCATGTCACACTGACCACACGGCTCCTACACCCTCCCGCCATACCCTAATTTGCATAATGGAGATGGCAGGTTGGGGTAGCAGAGGGGTCCTTTGAAGTCGGAGAAGTCAAACTGGATGGAGGATGGGATTTTAAAGGAGAAACACGTGGAATGGATTTTGGGAAGTTGCCAAGCAGATAAGTTGAAATTTTGACATATCCGATTTTGCGAAAAAGCAACTTTTCTTAGCGTTTAATTTTTAGGATACAGAACCAAATGACAAGAAAATAGCATTTTAAAGGATCGGGGAAGGTAGTTGAGCGATTTTCGAGACAAAATGGATTTGGCCGATTTCCAATTTTTAAAAATTCGTTGTTTTTTATTTTTACGGTATTTTTGGCATTTTTGCGACATAAAACCTAAAATCGCATCATTTTTATTGTTTACATTCCCCATCTTGTTGCTAATCCTTTTGTCGGTTTTTTTTGCGCAACGTGGCCCCAGGGCATGTCTGGTCGGCTAGCGGGGGATATTTGCTTCTTTGCGGGGCGTGTGATAAGATGCCCCGAGGGCACATTTGGATGGCCATAAAATGGTTGCCCTTCTTCGGCAATGCCCAGGTCCCTTTAAAGGTGCCGATCACAACATGGCAAACATTCATTGCCCCAGAATAGATTGGGTGCGAAAAAGAGGGCTAATCGTCGGCGCTACATCCTTTTCGCGGCAAGTCGATAATTATTTGCCAAGAAAAACCTGCTAGAGTACAACTCTAAGGGTGTTCAATTGTAGGCTGTATGCCAGTTTGTCGGAAAAAATACGGTAATCGACTAGCCCGTGTCCTTAAGAATCCCTGTCTCCTCCAAATTTGGTACAACTTTCGACATTTGGCAAGAAAAAAATCGAATTTTTGGCGATTTGATTACGACACGAAATTAGTCATGAAACCACGCGAAATCAGGAGATTTTACCAAATATTAGGTAAATTTTCGCGTTCTGGATTTTCTGGCATTTTTGATGATTTCGATTTTCCCCGGATTCGATTACCGGCCATTTCCGGATCAGCGACCCCTCCCTCCATAATTTCCCGCCAATATGCAAATCCTATGCCCCTAATCCCACTAACTGACATCCAATTAGTCCATTGTTCGCATAATTTTTGAGTGTTCCACAGGGGGATGTGTCTGGGGGCATCGGATGGTTTCGGATTTCCTCTTCACCTCCCCAGCAGTCTCGAGATCCTCGAGATGTTGCCCCAGGGCAGAAAGGTGTCAGACAGATTGTCACCTTCTCTCTCTCTCTCTCTCTCTCTCTCTCTCTGTCTCTCGCTCTGTCTCTCTCTCGCTCTCTCTCCACACCTGCCCTCCTTCATCTCGTTGTTTCCACACCTCATCAAGCCGGCTGCATGCTGTGAGGTCAGGTAGTGGCAGAGAGGCGAGAGAGTTAGAGATAGCAGTAAAAATTAGAACCCACCTTTTAAAATGTTTAACTGGATGCTAATCTGCAAAATTACGCTTGATTTCCAAGTTTTAGTAATTTTTCGAGGATTGAGTTTCGGGCCTTGACCCTTAAAACACGACCATTCTTGCTATGGCGGGCCCTACAAGGCTAACTAGCAGACAGACCACAAACTGACTGACAGACAGAGAGACAGATTTGTTGTTTGGCAGGTAGCAAAGAACAATGGCCCTTTTCATCCCTTACACCGGATTGTCTATTGACTAGGGCCAGAATTGGCTTCCAATTATCTGCTAGCCACAAAAAGGAGCAGCCGGAAATTGGGGGCCGGGCTAATTGTCGGGCAGTCAGATTAGAAGGGCAACTACCGCACTGGTCAGTGGACGGTTTCTGGCATTAAAGGGCCGTTGAAGTGGTGAAAAAATGGTTTTTTGGACTGAATTTTACAAATTTGTAGTTAAAGGGATGCCAAATTTAGAGCGGCATGGTCAATAGGTTACGCGCTGGAAAGAAAATGTCTTTGCGCCTCTCTCCAGGGCGCGCTCTCTGCCCTGTTGGCTACTTGCCCCCCGCCCCTTTTTCAATTTGTTGATTTTTGGAGGGGGAATTCCGTATATACATTGCCGTCGGCAGTTTTCCCTTTTAATAAAAACTGCTTGGTTAAAAGGGAAACTGAAGCCAAATCCGTGTGTTTCTTTGAACCCCCCGATGCCCGGAAGGCTCTTTGATTGGTCGAGGGCTATTCGGTGGCCCTTCTCTCTCTCTCTCTCTCTCTCTCTCTATCTCTCTCTCTCTCCAGCAGTTCGGAAGGTATTATTGAAGGGGACCCAAGGAAAGAAGTGCCGATATGCACATAGCACCAATGTCTATGAAGAGAGAAAGAGTAGAGAGAGAGGGCAGATAGATAGATAGAAGAGAGAGGGAGAGAGAGAGAGAGAGAGAGAGTGACAAATATTGGCCGTCCCCCTTCCGTCCTTCTGGACCTCACTTCTAGCCCCCAACCATCCACTTATTATTGACTACATAGCCAAGGGTGCCCACGAATTCACAGAGAAAGCAGAGAGAGGATGGACACTTTAAAGGAAGCGTGCCAGCTAGCAACATCGAGAGTTCTCGTTGTCAAAAAAAATCGCGAAAATTCCGATTATCCCAATTTTTGGGCAAAAAATTGTCATTTCATGTCGTAATGCGATATTCTGTCACAGTCCCTTCAAATTGGCATTTGAAAGGGAGGCGCCAGATAGCAGAATGTCCGTTTTCCGTCGAAAAAATTCGCAGAACTGGATTTATCGTAGTTTTTTTAGCAGCCAATTGGCGCTATTGAGCATGGCGTAATGCAGTAAATACTTGCTGGCACTGTACCGTTAAAATAGTATATCGAAATTTTTTCGAATTGTGCTTTTGCTGCCATCCACTTAAACCAACAAAAACGTCATTGCCCTCAAAACTAACTTTTTGCGCGTCAGATTACCAAATCCCAAAATGACATATCCTGGGGGCGTTGCGCAACACAGATAGACACTTTTTGGGAGGGACTCCAGGGGGATTGAGGGGATCAGGAAAAACAGAGGGTCAAATGGTTTGAAACCTAGAGAGTCTCTTTCTTTCTCTCTCTCTATCTCTCTCTCTCTCTCTCTCTTTTTTCTTTCTCTCCCCCCCCTCTCGAGTGACACCACGCAACAAGTTGAGGGCGCTAAAAGGTCTTCTGACACCCAGAAAATTTTTCCCAGGTGTTGGCACCCTGCCAATCTAGTGAGATTTCATCTAACTGTCATCCAGAAACGCTAATTAACATGTTTAATCGATAATCGATTATGCTAGGAAAGTCCACCAACCTAGAATAATGACTTGTTGAGCATCAGCTGAGTGTTGATCATCAGATTCGAGGTTTAGCACGGAGCATTGGAAATTGCCCTCCGTTACTCCCTTCGCCACCTAAAAATTTGGGTATTTACATGTCGTAATCGGTTGCTTAATCGTCAATTTTTAGCTCAAAAACTTAAAAAAAAATGGAAAAATCAAAACCCGAGAATTTCATGTCGTAATCGGTCATACCTTCTTAATCTTCAAGTCATACTGCCCATTCGCAGCGTCTTCAACCAGTTCAAAGTTGTCTTTCGACAATAACCGGGAATTCCGCGAGATATGCCTGGAAAGAGGAAAGTTTCGTACTACCGTACCCTCTTACTTGATATGTCCATGACTATACAATGTCCACGCAATTTCGTAGATGGCTCGATCCTGGTACGCCTTTTCCACCGTACACTTCACTGTGGGCCCCGATTGGCCGTCGACCACGTAATAGGGTTCTGTGGTTTCTTGTGTAGCGAAAACTGATGAGGACGGGTCGCTGTGGGCTGAAAAAAGCAGAAATAATTTTCGTATGCAAAATTCGTCGAGTTTTACGTTATCTATGTAAACTGCCATCCATTTACACTATTCAAAAACTTAGAAAACTTTTTCGGCGCCTTCGGGATCTCTACGAGGTTACTGTAAGTGCTCAATCCACAAAAATATGATTTTGTTTAGAGATTTCAAAGTTTGCCTAGCTTGCATCAATACATTTGCAATCTGGCAATCAATTTTTATAATTTGCTCCCCCAATTCCACGTCAATCCCTGGGTGTTCGACTCCGAGCGGTTGACACCATTCCCTTCCCTTGCCCCGGGCCAAATACGCGTGAACACGGCCAGGGGAAGGAATGCAAATCGTGGGCAAACATCTAGAGGACGGGTTGGGAATGGAAAATGGAACGCCTTTCTGGGTATCAGCAACACCGGTTTCACCATGAGATTTTCTGGATGTAAACTACAAATTTCGGAAAAAAATTATTTTAGATGAGCTTTCCAAAGTTTGAAAATTTAATTTTTTTTCGAAATTGCAGCTTTGAAAAAATTTGGTAACTTTTTTCATTTATCTAAAATATAGTTTATATTTATTTAAGTCCGGAAACTCGGATTGAAACATTTTTATTTTAGCCCATTTCCGAACTTTCGAAAAAAATTTTTTTGAAATTTTAGTTTCACGAGTCATATTTCATATCTTTTCTTATCTAACTGGCCTCCACTTGCTGCAAATTCCGTTTTGTGGAAACAGTACAGTCGCGGAAAATTGGATTGACTATTAGCCCTCGAGGTACTTCTTCCTTCCCCCTCGGAAGGAATAAGCCGACAAATACACAAGGGATCGTAGGCCGCTATGGGACCCTGGGAATGTCCCAATACCTCCACACGCAGTCAATCAGAAGAGACGAGACAATACTATCGACACCCACCGTATATCGCTGAAATTAAGGCTCCGCACGTCAATAGAAGAAGTCGTGCTGGGCCCGCCATTGCGGTGGAAATGGAGGGGAAAGAGCTGAGATATCGAATTTGTGCAGGTTGTGGGATATCTGGAATATATTACAGTTTAAACTGTCATGTAGGGAAATGGAAAACATCGCAAAATTTAAAAAAATCGAAAGTGAGGTTGTCAAAGATTGTAAAAATCGCAAAACTTAAAAATCGAAAAATCAATTTTTCGAAAAATGGTACATGTTTAAAATACTTAGAAGGACACGATAGAGCCGAGAATCGATAATTAACGAAATGGAACATTAAAAAAGTCGTAAAACGCGCGAAAACGGAGCGAAGAAGAGCTAAATTCCCAAAAACTGACGGTTTTAAAAAAATACAGCAGCTCTCGAGTTTGATGCTATCCGTTAGTAGCGTAAACTGGATGGTATCGGAAAGTCGGATAAATTTTACGATTGCTAGCACCTTCTCTTTAAAAGGGCTAAAAAGACATCGCCACGATTTTTTTGCCTCTGGATATATATGGATTTTACCACGCCGCGACACGCAACGCGTCCGCTCGTTTCCGCCGTGTAATGCAGATGTACCTGCAGGCGGTCGAGCAACATGAGCTTCGCGTCTAGCATGGCAAAATCTATAGTCCTACCTTGCGAGTCCCTTTAAAACCAAGCTACCGCTCCCAGAACCCATTCAAATCACAATCTGTTCGGCAGTGCATCCAAATAGCCGACAGACCAGCCAGAGGAACCAATGATTACACCACAACAATTGGTTATAAATTAGGGCGGTAGGGTTTAAAGGGACCGGGAAGGGAGGAGTAGAATTCGACACTTGTTCTGAAGAATAGAGGGGCGGGGAGGAGGGACGGTAGATTAATTACTATCGGGGTGGGGCAGGTACGGGCCGACGAGAGAGAGAGAGAGAGAGAGAGAGAGAGAGAGAGAGAGGGAGCGGTACAATTAAAGGGACTCGCAACTGTTGTCCCCTTCTGCCACTCGGTATGACCTATCTATCTGTTCTGTCGATCGAGTTATCTGTTCTGCCGAGAAATGACAGACAGCAACGGCCAAGCTGGGGCCCAGTAATTCAAATGCCCAGCAGAGTGGCCGGAAACGCGCAAAAACTGGAGAATGGACGGTCAGAAAACGCAAAATTTGCTACGAAAAGTCAAGCAAACGCCAATCACGGTAAATGTAGAGATTTTCTTACAGTTTCCTGCTAACTGGAGCCCAAATTGACCAAAATTAAGTATAGACTTGAAATTACAGGACCGTTTAAGTCCATATGCAAATTTTTCGAAGCTTTGTCTGTCAGTTTAGGCCAATCACTCAAAAATCAGGAATTACAGGCATGCAAAAGTTAATATGCAAATTTTGAGCTCAGCTGGCAGGCAATTGAACAAAAAATTGGACAAAAAATTTAACGAAAGTGGCAGTGAAAAAATCTACAAATTTGTAGGTTGACTGGGTGTCAGTTTAACTAAAAATTAATAGCAGATCAAAATGAAAAGGTTCTAAACAAAAAAATACGCAAATTTATGGGTTGGTCGGGTGCCAGTTCAGCCAAAAAACCTTCAAAAGTAAATATTAGCATTGTAAAATGCCGAAAACCCGGACCAGATGCCAGCTATGGGTATGCGGTATCTGAAGGGCAGAGAGAATGACGATCGGCCCCGGCGAATTAATGGCATTTTATGGGCCCGCGGGGGGAGCAGGCGGCATCTCTATGTATTCCACAATCTACGCAAGCAGGGGAGGAGGACCATAAAAATGATCTCTGCTGGGGTACCCCCCCCCCACGGCAGAAGACTCGCGGGAACAGGTGCCGAAGACCACTGCCAAAGGGGGAGGGCACACCCCAATGAAATATAACCGGAGGGCACACTGGCACATACACCATTTCTCTCTCTCTCTCTCTCTCTCTCTCTCTCTCTCTCTCTCTCGATACCAGGTGAATTGTGCCCACACAAACAGGGTGTAAATGTTACCGCACCACGCTAGGGGTGGCAGTTTGGAGGATTCGAACGGAAAATTATGGAAATTCTGGATTTCGACCTACTGTAAGACAGTTTAAAGGGCCAGGCAAGTCGGGGTTGACTCAACCCATAAAAATTCCAAAATATAAGCAAATTTCTTGCCGCCATTCAGGCGGGGGACAGTTTAAAGGGACAGGCAAGTCTAGGCGACCCAATCCATCAAAAATTCGATGTAAAATCTGGCATTTTTTTGGGCGACTCAGTTGGATAGGCTTACAGAATCGCCATAAAAAATAAGTTACAGATTTTTAGAGCCATAGGGCAATTAAGAAAATGAAAAATTACGCCTTCAAAAATTATGTTTTCCGAAGTTTTGGTGATTTCGACTTGGCATACAGTACGTAAAATACAAGGAAAGTATTACACACTTTAAACTGCCTTCCAGACTACAATATTTCTCAAAGGATTCCGAGAAAATACCTAAACTCCAGCCAAATTGACCGTCAGAATCTGCAACAATTTCCGGGAGGGGGAGTGCAATCTGCCATCGAAGCCAAGAACTACACACGGCAATCCAAATGTCTTGTAACCAGTTCTGATGGAAAAGAAGACCTCAACTACCAAACAACACAGCCAAAGGGAAGGGTTACAGAAAAAAAGGGGGGGGGAATAATTATTTCCCCTCTTGAAGAAGGCAAAACAGGGGGAAGGTCACACTGCCCAACCACCGCCCGATCGGGAATAAGATTCATTCGAATCGGGGAAAGAGGAGAGGTTCTTCAAAAGAGGAGAAATTGGACGCCAAAAAAAAACAGAGGTTATTACAAGACGGACAGACAGAGCGGCAGACAGACAGACAGAGAAAGCCAAATTATACTTCCGAGTACTTGCATGCTTGAACTTCTCGAATAACCTCCGATCGAGTGCCATTGACGGGTCGAATAACAGAAATTAGGCTTCTATGGTTTCCAGTTTGGGGGTGGCTAGCAGAGAGAATTGGCCTAGAAGTCTGAAAACCCGGAAAAATAGGTAAAAATCTTTATTGGGAAGCAGATGAGCTAAAATCGATCTCGCTGAAACTATCCTTCGACTGGTTGGATGCCAGTTAGAACGTCAAAGTCCGATCTGCCAGTTTCAAGGCGGATCTGATCTAGTCTAGTACGAGCTACACCTCGAGACGTGTGCCCGGGGGCATGGTATTGGGCAGAAAAAGAGCATCTAGTACTGGTTGGCGTGTGCCAGAAATCCGGATGATACACACGGAAAAGAGGGAGGGCTAATGGGCCAATTGGGACAACATCGGGAGGACGAGACGAGATCAGTTTGTGTTGTAAAAACCTGTTCAGAGGAATGGATCGTAGTGGGGATACAGTGTGGCCAGAAGATAGTCATAAAGTCAGATGACTGCTGTAAAAAATTGCTGTCCAACTATCAATTTGTACTAGCCGGATGACAACGGGCCAGAATCCATGATTTTCGGGTTTCTGATCACAAATTTTCAAGATTGAGTAACTTTCATAGTCCCGATTTTGGTGTTAATAAGCGTACTGCATGCCAGAATCGTCAAATTACTAAAAAACGTGCTAAAATCGCATATTTAAAGGGATCTGCAGGACTTTCAGAGCAAGCTAGACGATTTTTCTTTTAGACGACTTTTCGGAATTTCCGTGAAATTTTGTAATGCACATTTAATAACAACGCGTATGATGCTATCTGCCAATAAGGCAAAATTTTCCTCGAAAAATATCCAAAGTATCAATTGAGCAATTTGGAAATGGTTTACAATTGTCTGGTTGGGGGTTGGCGCGTGTGTATGCAACAGGTACCAACCGGGGAAGTCAGTGAGTGAGTGCGTAGCCTGAGGGCATATTTGGACAGGCTGCAGACGAGCGAGTAGACGAGCCACGGAACGGAAGAGTCCGGAAAGGGG